TTTCGAAACAAAACGAAAACTAAGCAATAAACGAAGCCACAAGTGAGATTCGCCTCCCGCAAGAACGAAGACTAGGCAAATCTTTGTACTATCCATCATTCCCATGGCAGCTGAACGATTGCAGCGCCAGAGTCCCCTCCAGTTAATTTTAGGACACTCTACGGCTTAGTCGATTGGTGGTTGCGTCATTGCGCATGCGTAAGACGGTCATTGATTGATTTATATGTGGGGTTTAACGTCCCAAAACCACGATATAATTATGAGAGACGCCGCAGTGGAGGGCTCCGGAAATGTCGACCACCTGGGGATCTTTAACGTGCACCCAAATCTGAGCACACGGGCTTACAACATTTCCGCCTCCATCGGAAACGCAGCCGCCGCAGCCGGGATTTGAACCCGCGACCTGCGGGTCAGCAGGCGAGTACCTTAGCCACTAGACCACCGCGGTGGGGTGTGCGTAAGACGGTCAAGTGCTGAGCGTGTGAGAGCACGGTTGCCGTCGGCCTGGACCGTAGCGAACGAAGCATGACGGGACGCCAGTAAAAACAACCAAAATGGCAGCCTCTTGTGCCTCGGAAAACATATCGGTTGTTCGGCCAACACGCAAGCCACCGACGGCGCTTCAGGATACACGAGAATCTGTGCCACCTCCGAGAAGTCGTCGCCGCCATTCCCTTCGAAAATCCGCGCATGTGGGTGACGTTCTACAACGCGATACACGTAGAGCTGACAATTCGGGCCATGAAGGAACGCCTCGAGCCGCTGCTTTGGTACTTTCGTCAAAAAAGACTCTGGAAACCTTCGCTAGTAAGTGATGTCATCTATACAACAGTAACAATTATATTTCTAACAGCATCCATTTCCAGAAACGCTTTTAAATGCGAAGCATTTCTTAGCGAACCTCGGTGACATTGAGCGTATCTATCTATCTATCTATCTATCTATCTATCTATCTATCTATCTATCTATCTATCTATCTATCTATCTATCTATCTATCTATCTATCTATCTATCTATCTATCTTTCTATCTATCTATCTGTCTGTCTGTCTGTCTGTCTGTCTGTCTGTCTGTCTGTCTATCTATCTATCTATCTATCTATCTATCTATCTATCTATCTATCTATCTATCTATCTATCTATCTATCTATCTATCTGTCTATCTGTCTATCTGTCTGTCTGTCTGTCTGTCTGTCTGTCTATCTATCTATCTATCTATCTATCTATCTATCTATCTATCTATCTATCTATCTATCTATCTATCTATCTATCTATCTATCTATCTATCTATCTACCTATCTATCTATCTATCTATCTATCTATCTATCTATCTATCTATCTAGCCGCCTGCGACTTTTAGCTTTCCTGGCCGTTTCGATAACGGTATCGATACCAAACTTGACATGGCATAACATGGCTCTATGAAGAACATATCTGACTAGTCATTAGATGAAAATCATGATATGTCTGTTATAAATGTCATGATTTACATTTCATGGTCCTGCAGCTCTTGCGGTGGTTTTGTTCACATGGCATGATGCAAAACTGGTATGGTATGATATGATTGCATGGCGAACACAAGCGACAGACCCTAAATGAAAATCAAGACATGCGTATCATGTAACAACATGACTGCATGTCACGCTCCTGATGCGCTCGCGGCCGTTTCGCTAGTGTCACACATATACCTAATTTGGTATTACGGTACGTGAATGGAGGACGAAGGTGCGTGACTGCTGCAAACATGATAAACATGGGATGTGTGTCATGTAACAACATGACTACATGCTACGCTCATGATGTGCTCGCCCCCATTTCGCTAGCTTCGCATGTACAGACTCGTTATTACGTGACGCGAATGGACGACATAGGTAAACGACACATCCAAACATGATAATCACGACATGCGTGTCATGTAACAACATGACTACATGCCACACTCATGATGCGCGCGCGCGGCCGTTTCGCTAGCTTCACGTATGACAAATTTGGTATTACGTGACGTCAATGGATGACGAAGGCATGTGTCTGTCGAAAACATGATAATCGTGAGATGCGTCTCGTGTGAGAACACGACTACATGCCACAGTCAAGGCGCCAATACATTTTAACGTGAGGCAGTGCGCGTGCTCGCTGGCGTTCATTTCGTCGCGTCACGCCGGCGTTGCCACGCCAGGCGCCGCTCCTGCCATATACTCACAGGCGCGCGACGCGCTGCGTTGCTTTGACGCATGCGCGTTTCAGCGCATCCGGCACCCCTCCGTCACGAAAAGAGGCAGACGAATTGTTGTCTGGGTAACCCATCGGCGCGAATTTTGCGCCGGTTGCCGTCGGGTCGCGCCGACGGAGGCTGGTCGCGCCGGTCGCGCCTTGCGTCAGACCATAGAGTTCTCGCGTTTTGATAACGTATAGCGTCGCTGTGCCCAGCGTGTGCGCGCGTCGACGCTACATTGGAGTATATTGAGCCCTTCATGATGCGCTCGCGGCCGTTTTACTAGCTCGACATATACCAAACTTGGTGTTACGTGACGTCAATGGATTACGAAATATATGACTGGTGCAAACATGATAATCCTGACACGCGTGTCATGTAAGGATATGACAACTTACCACGCGAATAGCATGCTCGCGGCCGTTTAGCTAACTCCACATATACTAAATTTGGTATCACGTGACGTGAATAGATGTCGAAGCTAAACGACACATCCGAACATGATACTCATGACACGGAAGTCATGTACGGCATTATTTACCTCTCCCTCGTAACGTTGTGCTGATCTTAAAGTGACGTATCAAGGTTTCTTATTCGTGTTTCGCATATCATTGATTCCCGCTGTACGTGGGATCTGCCATTTTTTAGTTTCACTTGCCACGAGAAAATGGGCTGAACGCGTGCAATTCTGGTGGCGCGGTTGAAACGCTTTTGTGCTCCCTTGAAGATTCACTCATTGTCAAGACGAGAAAAAATAAATTAAAGAAAAAGGACCCCGCTTCAAGCACCACTATTACGCGAGAGTAAATGAATTCCCACTGCTTTAAAACAAGGTTCGCTTTCTTCCTGCAAGGTATAAGTAAAAATTTCATTGTCATTTTTAACATGTTTGACTGTTGCACCGATGGCATCACCATTGCTCTGACCAAAGGTGTTTCGCTAAAACCAACAACGCGCCTTGAGCTCCGGTAACGTTGAGTGTTTTGTGTGTTTGAAAAAAGTGGGGAACGATTCTAAGTGTTTAGAAAAAGTGGTCAACGATTTAGAGGACTTAGTACTCTACTTAGGGAAAGCTGAGAGCCGTCCCGTGGATGGCGGAACAACAGATCGGGGGGAGGGGGGGATTAGAAAAAGGGGGTAACGATTTAGAGTACAGGCTACTCTACTACTGTTTAGAAAAAGTTTATTCTCTCATGGGACGCAACAGAGCTAAGGGACAAGCGTCTGTATAACAGGCACAATAACAAACAAAAGACAAAGCACAACATACATTACACATTTAAACAAAAGTGTCCAAGTCCGTAGGATGTCCATAGTCCATTGTACTAATAACTATACATACACTACATAAATGCACTAATCACAATATGGACAATGTACATGATGATTTGTGTGCAGAATTTACAAGACTTGGTGAAGATGTTAGAACATATGTACAACAGGTATCAATATTCATAAAAGTTACATAACTTACAGCATTAGAATGAAGCGCATATATAGAAGAGCTCACACCCATATGGGACATACACAAGCACATAAATGGGAGAGCGAGCAGACCTCATAACAGCGCTTAGCGCGCTGTACATGGCTGTATAGTGTCAGCGTACGCTACTTCGAAGGGTCTCTCTGATATCACCAGTTCCTCTTCAGACTTTGTGAGAGTCTAAAGCTATGAGTGATACCTACGGCACAGTTAATCACTACTCAGAAAATTATTTAGCCGTTCTTAATGTGTTTTAATCTAACGTCACCAAATTTAAGGTTTGAAGCAAACGTAGATAGATCGGTTCCGTACAAAAGGCACATTCTCGGTGCGTCGATAGGAATCGCCAGTGTTCGAGTAAGCAGCCATCTATAGGGAAGGAGAAAGAAAGAACTCGCCCCGTCAATGGCTCGACGGTGATATTAACTTTTGAGAGAGTGGTCAAGGCATGAAAGATTCATGACGGCGCGCAATCTCCATGCCGGAAGCGGAAAAAACTGAATGAAAAGCAGCGGGCGGCGAATTTCGACGTGTAACTTTCTCAGCGACGGGGCGAAAAAAAAAAACGACGGTGAGATTTGATGTCCTGTTTTACTGCGTCCCTTTATTTTTTCTTGCGTGCACAAAGGAATGAAGACGTTAGACTGATGTGTGCAGAAAGGTTCGAAGCGATCTCTCTAAGGGGAACAGCGAACTTTTTAAAGTCTGCTCAAAGAGGACAAGACTCTTCGGTTCTCCAGAGCCACAAAATATGAAAAAAAATCTAAGCGTAGTTTTCCGTGATGGTCAGCGGGTTGTTGAATGAATCACGATATAAAAAATGAAGACGCCACGTCGAAAAAAAACAAACAAATTGCTGCACCATACTTGACGTCACTTCCGCTTCGTCTATACAAGTCATGTCAATGCCTTTTATTGTAACACGTCCGTTCTCGGCGACGCTCTGAGTCACCGATTTGTTCTTTTCGGAAGGAACGCCGCACTGGACGTGATACCGATTCGGCATACTAAATAACTCTGGTAGGCCGACAGCAGCAAAAAGAAAGAAAGAAAGAGAAAAGAAAGAACAAAGAAAGGAGAAAAGAATGAGAAGAAAAGAAGGAAAGAAAGAAAGAAGAAAACAAAGAGAAGAAAAGAAAGAGAGAAAGAAAGGACGAAAGAAAGAAAGAAAGAAAGAAAGAAAGAAAGAAAGAAAGAAAGAAAGAAAGAAAGAAAGAAAAAAGAGAAAAAGAAATATCCATCGCCCCTGGTTAAAGAATATTGGTGCCGCCCCTGCAAGGTAAGAGAAAAGTGCGCGCGTAACTCACCAGGTCGGCGCTAATTTCGCAGCGGTCATCCAGGTCCTTCTGCAGCTGGGTTAGCTGGGATTCCTGTTCCTTAAGGCGATCCTCCTGTAAGTGCCAGAAGGAAACGGGTCATAAACGTGCCGGCACCAAGAAACCTGTGAATATTTATTGATTGATATGTGGGGTTGAACGTCCCTAAACCATACTATATGTAAATGAGAGACGCCGTAGTGGAGGACTCCGGAAATTTCGACCTCCTGGGGTTCTTTGACGTGCACCCAAATCTGAGCACACGGGTCTACAGAATTTCCGCCTCCATTGGAAATGCAGCCGCCGCAGCCGGGATTCGACCCCGTGACCCCCGGGTTAGCAGCCGAGTACCTTAGCCACTAGACCACCGTGGCCGGGCAAGTTTTGACAATGATGATCATATATTTGCTCCTTTTGAATTGAATGTTTCAGTTCTAAGCAAGATTAGTTCTTCTTAAATGTAAGAGTTTCTACATTAATACTATTTATTTATTTATTGCTTTCGTCAACCCCATTCTCGACCATTCAGACTGGACATCTGTCACTAAGCCTGATGGTCTTCACGCAAAAGAGCGAGCGATTTGGCACGTACACGGGCACAAGCAGGACGAAGTCAGCGTTAAACACTTTCTTTTTCGCAAATATATGTTGAATGCACATTTCCTCCGGTTCCCATCACAGCTCCATCATGAATCAACCTTCGCAGCTAATTCGTTTTGGATGTTCTCTGAATACAAGCCTCGTACAACTTCGCGCGAAATAAAGAAGCTATCCGCGTTGTTTCTAAATCTAACTGCAGCCATTTTCATCATCGTGAGTGCCTGTCTACAATAAATAAACAAGTAAGGAAAGTAACAATCCAGGTAAACCAGGAAAATGGACGAGTAAGTAAACAAACACATCAACGAGAATCCGATTAATGACGACGCTATTGCGAACGAATGACTGGGAGATGTGTAACCATGGGGGCTACGCCAGGGGGGCTTTTGTCTGGGCAAGTTGGTGCGGAATTAGCGAAATCAACTAGCGCGAAAGACGAGACGAAAGGCGCTTGTACAACAGGATCAGTGCAGACTGATTTAGCACTGAACCTGTTGTACATGTGGCTTTTTTCTCGTCTTTCATGCTGGTTGATTTCGCAAGCGACGCCAGGATTTCTTTACAGGTGAGAGAGGGGTGAAGGGCTGAAGCCTGCCATATGCCCTTCCCCCAGTTCCCTCTCCCCATGCGTGCGGAAATAGGAGCTGTCGTCTACTGACTTCGATTAGGGAGCGATAATTTATAGACGCAAGAACGAAGATTAACTGAACCAACTCGACGACTTCAATTCGAAAGCTATTGTAAATTGCGTGATTCTAAAACACAAACATTCTTTCATTCAAATAAAAAAGAGTTCCCTTTAAACATCTCAATCAGTTTTCCTCGCTACTACCGAAACGTGCTTTTCAATCCATAATTTATTATGGCAGCACGCCTAAAATCGTTCGTCCATTTCATTTTATTTACTACGATGAACCACGGCAATGCTGAGCTCGGCTCCAACGTTGCGAAGCGAGGCAAAGATCATTGGCTATAGCCACGAAAAGCGGCAGAAGCAAGCGACCTTTTAGCGTGAAACTGATTCAGCGAGATGAAAGCGGCTAAAACGAAATCGTTCAACGGGATAAATGGTGAAACTCAGTCATCCCGCGACGTCGACAAACACAAAAAACAGCTCAGAGATAGTCAATCCTAAGCATCTGCTTTATCGCTGCGGATGTGGCTCCCGTTTTTTCTTTTCTTTCTTTTTTTCGTTCTTTTTCCTTTGTTTTTGTCGGGTTTCACGTGGCGTTGACATATTTTAGAGTATTTGTGTCACAGCGATGGCAGATGACGGGGATGGCAGAGAAGAATTATGGAAAGAACGGAAAAAGAAAGCAAGGTCTGCACACGCAGTCATCAATCAAACACGCGTAAAAAAGTGAGCAATTTCAGGAGCGAAGCTCCTTGAAGTGGCACCCGTTCGTCCCTCGTAGTAGTGCGTAACATGTCTTACGCTTTGACCTGCAAGGTGGTGCCGGTGGGAGATTTGTCCTGTGCGTTAATGAACACTAAAAAATTCGCAGCGTGCGCGTTAACTAAAAGCCCAATTCTCCTGTCTCTCATTCCTTATTAGCGGCCATTGGCATGTACATTGAGCACTATCTGACAAGAAAGGGTTGCTACGTTATGCTCGCTGGGCGTAACCTCCTAGATTTTAGAAAGGTTAAGCGAGTGTTGGGCCGCAGTGCCATGAATACAGTGAACTAGTATATACCATGAACTCGAGGTGGTCAAAGGTGGGAAGTAGACACGAAGCGCAAGCCGTAAGAAAGTGTGCATGTGCCACCTCTCGTTTAGTCCTTGTAGTGTCCGCTGGATGGCGGTGCTTCCATATGGGGAATATATGATGAAAAGATGCGAGATGGTGGTACTTGGAGTGTCGACTAGATGGACGAACGGACACACAGACAGATGCATGGACGGACGCACGGATGGCTGCACGAACGGATGGACACATGAACGGACGCAGGGGCGGATGCATGGACGAACGCAGGGACGGACGCACGGATGGACGTGCGGACGCACTAACAGACGCACGCACGGACGGGCGGATGGACGCACGGACGGTCACACAGACGGGCGCATGGAGGGACGGATGCTTCGTCCCGCTCTCCATCATTCACCCCGTAGATATGCTGCGATTTTTTATATCGCTGAAACCTTCTCTGCCTTTCAGGTCACGGAATGACAGCGCTCCAGTGGTCTGTTAGCAAGCGTTATTTGTAAAACATTTACAGTAGTATTTAATAACGACAGCGATAGGAAACGTCGCTAAAAGCGTTGCATTTCAAAGCCCCCGGTTTGCTGAATCAAAGGCATGGCTTTGCGGACGTTGTGCACTTGAAGGGCGCTCACACTGCGTTCATAATAAACGTCAACAAAGTCATTCGGTCTTGGATCTTGCATCTGCTCCGCTCTTAGGGTGATTTGGTGGATGTTGCTTGTACAGCGTTTACCACTATGTTTATGTTGTGATCAGAACATGAAAGAAACATTGCTGCTATTTTTTTCTTACTTGCTGTGCTGAAGATGCCTCCTAAGAGATGTAATACATGTATTACACATCTTAAAAGACACCTTCAGGCACGAAGAGCGCTAGCACTGCGTTGATAAGGCGAAATATATAAAAACATACCTACAGAAAAAAGCTGAAAGTCAAGAATTTATCCTGTATGGTTATATTTTATGACCATATTCACGTGCTTGAATCGCTGATGTCCTCTTTCGAACGTAACGCGCGGACTCGCCCAGCAGTACAAGTTACTTAAGCTGTCACACTTTCACCGCAAGGGCGAATCGGTCAATATGATAGGAAAATTTGGGAATGTTACCCGAGGTAGGGCTTTCAGCTAACTTTTTTTTTTTAGGATCCGATGTGGCGTAACTCTACGTAGCGTTTCCGTAGGTGAACACGGTAACTACAGCGATTGAAGTCACTGTAGTACTGTCATTGCTTTAACGGAAAGTAGCGTTGAGAGCACAGCACATTCAAAAGCTTAAGCCGCCTGCTACTCCTTTTCGAAATGGCGCGCAATCTTTCTTTAATCCTCGTTGCGCGAGACCACATTGCGCAGGAACAAGTTCCTCCACCGGGCGGTGTGCTTCATTTCTGATTGAGCCGGAATCGCGGTCGCATGCTTTCGCTCGTGCATAGAACATACGACGCTGTAGGGCGATGTTATCAGATCGCACTTTTATACCGCGAGTGTCTATATAATAATAAGACCGCGCCAGGACAGAAGTGTGTCCATGAGCAAAAGTACCTCTATAGAAATACCTAGGATACCTCCTAACAGAACTTAGCCCCAAATTTGCGCTGAAACTCTTTGATATATGATCATAATAGTAAAGGTACTTTGCGTGATCAAGTTAGTTCAGCCTGAAGATCATCACAACGCATGCAAACCCTGATAAATACCCCACCGTAACACCGTTTTTATTGGCATATCCATTGCTTATAACAATGTTTCAGTGATTCAAGCATTAAAAAAAATGGCAGCATATCCACGGAGTGAATGATGGAGAGCGGGGCGAAGAATTCGTCCGTCCATCCGTTCTCGCTTCCGTCCGTCCATGCCTCCGTCAGTGTGACCGCCCATGCGTCCATCAGCCCGTACGTACGTGCGTCTGTTCGTGCGTCCGTCCCAGTGTTCGTCCATGCATCCGCCCCTGCGTCCGTCTATACGTCCATCCATGCATCTGTCTGTGTGTCCGTTCGTCCATCTATTCAACACTCCAAGTACCACCATCTCGCATCTTTTCATCATATATTCCCCATATAGAAGCACCGCCATCCAGCGGACATTCCAAGGACTAAACGAGGGTGGCACACGCACACTTTCTTACGGCTTGCACTTCGGGTCCGCTTCCCACCTTTAACCACCTCGAGTTCATGGTATATACTAGTTCACTGTATTCATGGTACTGCGGCCGAACGCTCGCTAAACCTTTCGAAAACCAAGGATGTTACGCCCAGCGAGTATGACGTAGCAAACTTTTTCAGTCAGATAGTGCTCAATGTACATGCCAATGGCTGCTAATGGGAAATGAGAGGTGGAGAATTCGGCTTTTACTTTCTACGGCTTGCGCTTCGTATCTACTTCCCATTTTTAACCACCTCGAGTTCATTCATGACATATACAAGTTCATTGTATTCATGGCACTGCGGCTCAACGCTCGCTAAACCTTTCTAAAGCTAAGGAGGTTACACCCAGCGAGTACAACCGTCACCCCCGGAAAATCTTTTCAGGCCTGCGCCCAGCAATTTGACGTCATTTCCGGCCGGCCGACTCTCGGGGAAGCCGCAGCGGCAGCGAGCGCAGCGCGGGCGGCGGTGGTGACGGTTCGGCGGCGTGGTGTTGACGGTGTTTCACGTTTGTTGCTTTCCGTTGTTCTTTTGCGGCAATTTCGTTTCCGTGCGTGATGCTGGAGTGATGCGACAATGCCGAATAAGTGTTGTGTACCCGGATGCACCGGCAACTACAAAACAGGAAAGAAGATACAAGTGTTTTCCTTCCCTAAAGACGCCGACGCTCTCAAACAATGGGTACGCGCCATTCCTAGGAAGGACTTCGTGCCGACTTCGTGCACTAAGGTAAGAATTTGAGATGCTCCTGTTCTTAGCTTGTCGTTGCTTGTTCGGGTAAAAATCACCTATGATGGGAAATACTTGAGCGTGTGGCCGCCGGGCCTCGCGAAGCGCTGACGCCAGCAGCGTTCGCACCAAGGATGGTCAGCTGCGCTTTGTTCACTAACAGTGCCGTGGTGTCGTCCATTCTTGCAAGCTCTCGGTGGAAGCGCTTCGTGGAGTGCGGTGACATCACGCTCCCGTGTTTCCTTTCATGTTGCTTGTACCGCTTAGCGCAGCGCTTTTATTTAGATGCTTGCGAAACGTAGGTAGACTTTGTTTTAGCTACACGGACTGTAAACGCGGTCATGCAAACGGGAGCGCATTTTTTTCTTTTGAGAAGTGGCGTCTCAGACGTTCTTGAAACGTTTTTGCAGGTGTGCGCGAATCATTTCGACGCTTCATGCATTGAGAAGACGACATCGTAGACGGATCCAAGGACAGGGAGAGTTATTGAAGTTGCACTCCCAGTACCACGGTTGCGTCCTGGATCTGTCCCAACGGTATTTTCCGGCTGTCCGTCCTACCTATCAGTACGAGACCAGAGCACGAGAGAAACCCCTGACTCCAAGAGGAGCCGACAAGAAGCCTCCCAACTCGCCCGTGCTGTAGAAAAGTCGCTGGCGTCATATGAAGCGGAGCAAAAACGAGACCGGTTTTCGTCCCTCGAAGAACTAAGGGCTCGCCTGCAAGGGGTGTCAGTGTCTCCAAAGTGGACTGTGATTCATAAAGAAGAGTGCTCCATGTTTTTGAACATTATCGACTATCGTGAACCTTGTTTGAATGCGTCATTGACCGTGTTTGCAAACCTGAAGTCTTTGCCTGCTATCAAGGTTCACCAATCAAGAACCTTGGTAGCGCTGTTGTACCAGACTCAGTTCAAAAAGTAAGTTCCTTGTTGGAAATTTTGAACAACCTGTCGATGCTGTCTGAGGAGCGCTGCACTTATTGCCACCTGGCTCAAGCAATACATTCCCTTGTTTGAGCCTTGTTTCCAGTTTTGTATCTCTTTACAAGTTGTTAGCTTTTAAAGGTGCTGTACTTTTTTCTTTTTTTTTTAACTCGAACTGCCTCGGTGCCCACTGTAGCAGTTGTACAGTCCGTTTTGGTACCTAAGCTGTGTACACTTTCCTTGTGCACTCTGTGTACAGACATGTTGTGCACTGTGATTTGTTTTTTTTCTTAGATTTTTGTTTGATTTTTTCCCTAGGACATGCACCTACCTGTGGCAGTACAATTACTTTTCTTTCTGTCATTTATCATGCTGTGGACCACAATTTAGTCACCAGTGTTCTTTTGTATTGTATTTTTTGGCAAGTGTTTGAACCTGATACCTTGTGTTGCTACTGCTACTATGATAAACGAATGGTATGTTTTCCTCTAACCTACAATTTAAATGAAAGTGTGCTTTTTCTGTTCCAAAGCTCGGGGATGTTTTTGCTGTTACAATCTGTTTTGTTTTCTGAGTTTTATGTGGCAAGATATTGTGTTTTGTACTTTTGGCATATTTTCAGCATTAAGGGCAACATCTTGTGTTGCCTGTCGTCTGCCTGGACCGAGAACAATGTGCACTGTGATATTTGTACAGACGGCGTCTGGCTGTGATAAATAAATACGCATTATTCCATTCACGATATTCATTATTTCTTGATACCTTGATAAGTTCCCCCGCAACGGTGGCTCAGTGGCTAAGGCGTAGCGCTGCTGAGCACTAGGGCGCAGTTTCGATACCCGGCTGCGGCGGCCGCATTTTTGATGGAGGCGAAAAGCAAAAACGCCCGTGTGTACGAGATTTCGGCACACAATAAAGATTCCCAGGTAGTAAAACTTGATCCTGAGCTCTCCCCTACGGCGCGCTTCATCGCCTGCGTTGCGTCGGCGCGTTAAACCATACAATCAATGGATACCTTGATAAATCGTGCGGACATGGTGTCAAGGAACCTCGCCCGAGTCGGTAGGCGTGAAGGGCGCTCGCGGCTGGCGCAGCCACCCAGCGAAGGGCGGCTGGCCGGCCGGCGCGATGTGACGTCGTCGACGTCACGTCACGTGACGCGCAGGCCTGAAAAGCTTCCGGGGGTGACGGTACAACGTAGCAACGCTTTCTTGTCAGATAGTGCTCAATGTACATGCCAATGGCTGCTAATGGTGATCGCAACCTGCGCGTTAACTAAAAGCCGAATGCTCCTGTCTCTCATTCCCCATTAGCAGCCATTGACATGTACATTGAGCACTATTTCTTATTGTTCAACAACGCACAGAAGAAGTCTCTCACCGGCACCACCTTGGAGGTCAAAATGTTATACTTGTTACATACTACGGGGGACGAACAGGTGCCGCTATAAGGAGCTTCGTCCCTAATAGTTATAGCTTCCCGACAATGGTGAAGTCCTACGCTACACATTTAACTAGCATTTCTCGCGATGCTACCCAATGGGCCATCTAGTTGTTTGTTGGGTTCCTGCTTAATAGCTGAAACGTTTAGATTGTTCGGCATAATCGCTTTACAGCAGCCTACACCCTTTTATTGTTTACTTCTTTCTTTGTTTCGTTCTTTCACTAAGCTACTCCGCAAATCGATCTTTAGTAGTGTGTTGGTAGCTTCAAACTCTTTTCTGACCTTTCTGCTTCCGGGAGAACAAAAAGCTCCAAAGACAAAAGAGGGCGGAACACACGGGTGACGGCTCCCCTCTTGCCATGACGATAGTTATAGCGCGAGAACAAAACGACGACACAGAGACAAGAAGGACACGAAAGACACGAGCGCTCGTGTCTTTCGTGTCCTTATTGTCTCTGTGTCGTCGTTTTGTTCTCGCGCTATAACTATCGTCATGCCATACCAACTAGCCCAAGCTGCCACACTCCCCTCTTGCGTTTCGTTCCCGCGTAATTCCCCCTTTGACGATGAACGCTCGCTTCCGCCGCAACTGACAGTCTGAAAGAGGACCGTCTAGGCCAAACCATGCAAAAAAGACTCCTGCCAGTTGTCGGTCTCTCTTTGTATACATCATTTATTTCCTTCGTATTCTACTTCGTTTCCATTTAACTAAACGTATTTAAGCCGACAAAGCAACGCTTTTTTGTTTTGTTTTTTGTTTTGGACACATATGTTATGATTTGTTGTTCTGTGAATGTTGCGGTTGAATTGGAGTGTACATATCAGTTAAATATCTCGTTAGTAAACTGATTAAACACTATGGTGACGTTCACTCGTGGGCATTCCGGGTGAACCACAAGGAAGCTTCAGTGCCACTATTTTTTTTTTCAGGTGTATGGTGTAGTATCATTGGGCCACAGGGACGTGCTTTTACATAAAAACTTCGGTTCTTTTTGTAGTGTTTGCGTGTTTACTATTTGTCTCTGCACCCTCGTTCTAAGCTCGCTCAACCATTTGAATGCAATTACTACAGTTGAACTGGTCCTGAACTCTTCGGGTCAGGTTAAAACAAAACGCATGCCGTGGAAAGCAGACGCCACTGTGAATTCCACGGCCGAATCTTGCAGCCATGCGTGGCAACGAGAGTTTACGAAAGTAGCGCGAAGTGGCCACTTTCTTAAGCGCCCTCTCTTCATGCAGAGACGCGTCCTCACCCTCTTCGGAGCTTCCGGCGACACTCCTGTATGACGTCATACAGCAGATTCCCGCAATTCGACCGGCATCTAGCATTCACCAAGAAGGGGAATCGGAGCTTCTCACCACGGGCTGCCGCCACACTCCGCAATCTAGTAATACATAGTTTCAACATAAGCGCGCATTTGAACAACACAGGCGTAGAGATACGGCATTTCAGGACTTCAGGATTTGCGCACAAGGTCGTGACGCGCGATTACGTAGCTTTTTTTCCTCTTTCTCAACCCCCTATCCCGTATCTAGCTTCCAGCACGCTTGCGATTGAGTTGACAGGCAAGTAGTACTTATCTTTCGAAAAAGCGCGAAGCATGTTCCAGAGCGCCAAGGCAATGGTATAAATCACACATTAATCAGTATTGGAGCTGACACATTGGACGCGTCATGCAAGCCCCCATTCGGTTAGACCGATTTATATATACGAATGTGGGAGGAGAAGTTGCATACTCACCACATCTCGAAGCCGAAGTCGATACTCGTGCTCGATTCTTTCCTTCTGCAATCGAATGGCCTGCACAGACAAAACATGGAAACGAGAAGTGTTAGATATATGTCGTGGTCGCACAAACAAAAAAAAACAACTCACGAACACGCAAGCTCAAGCACATGAATACGACGTACTTCTTACACATTGACTCCTCCTCATCCTAGCTCCCACTTTCCTGTCCTCTCGCTGTACTATAATTTGGAAACTATGCATTACTTTGCCCTTACATCCCGTAATTTCTTCCCTGCTCACCGTCATTTCTCTTTCTCACACTTTCCATCTCCTCAAAGCAATGTCAAGCTCGGCGTGGCCTTGCGAAGCTAGCGCCACCGTGCCAAGTGGTTCCTAGGCAATGCGAAGTGACGTCATAGCTATGCGCAGCGTTTCTAGTCTACGCTACGCGGGCATCACCATCACCATTACCCTCAATCAATCAATCAATCAATCAATCAATCAATCATCATAATCATCATCATCATCAGCCTGACTACACCAACTGCCGGACAAATAGCCCTTTCATGTTCCTACAGTCAACTCGGTCCTGTGCTTGCTGCTGCCTCTTCATGCCCGCAAACTTCCTAATCTCATCTACCCAACTAACTTCCTGCCTCCTCCTCATCCGCTTGCCTTTTCTGGGAATCCAGTCAGGCGCGAGCGCACCTCGAGCTTAAACATCTCCGCTGTCAATTTTGCCCATAATGTTGTACAATGATAGCGATAGCAATGCATAGGTGACCACGCAAATTGTGGTTTTTAATTTTACTGTTCATATACGCTGCAGGACACGTCGATCGCTATATCGCAATTAGAAAGCCCAGCCTCAAGTACGCTTACGTAAATACAAACACGATTCGTTCGACGGTCACGAGCGATGGCTGTCACATCGCTGTCGTGACGAGCAACGCAGACATAAGCGCATAGCGTTGCTTCTGGCATCTGAGAGATGGCGCGACCTCTGAGGATAGGGGCATGGAGATCCACTCAGCTGTTGAACCCATAGAACATTATTTGCAATATTGGGCACTCGCCTTTTTAGTATCACTGCGAGGAACAGCAGGGAGGACGCGCTTGTGCGTCCTGTGTTGTTCCGAATAGTCTGTAGTGTGTGTTAATTAGTATAAAGAATTCATTAAGGTTGGTACCAACTAGCCCAACTAAATGCCTTAACAAGGTACATTTCGCTCACTCTCCCCATTCCGCTACGCCGAGCTCCAGCAATTCTCTCCCCCTCCTACCCTCAGAACTACGAAGCATAACCTAAGCTTCCCCTCCTTCTTTTCATACCTATGCGAGCAACAACAGCACGCCCTCCTTCGGTCATCACCACTCCACGCGCGGAGAGTGCAAGGATATTATCCACTCGGAATTTACACGTAACATCACGACAGACGACTTCCTAGCAACATCGTATTTCAATAATGATGCTTCGCGTAAGCTGCTGAGTCTTGCAACAGCTCCTTTTTAGCCTAAGAGTGTGACGCTCGAAAGACAAGCGTTAGTTTTGCGAACTGAATAAGAAGAGGAAGGCAAAGTGGAGTATCTAAGGGCTGACCAGACTGGTATCTTCCGATCTGCGACCCTACATTTTTGGGAACGATAAGACAGAAAAGAAAAAAAATCAAATCGTGAACAAACTTAGCGTGCAGAGGGACGGATAGATAGATAGATAGATAGATAGATAGATAGATAGATAGATAGATAGATAGATAGATAGATAGATAGATAGATAGATAGATAGATAGATAGATAGATAGATAGATAGATAGATAGATAGATAGATAGATAGATAGATAGATAGATAGATAGATCTCCATAAGCGTGCCTCTCGTCATCCTTCCGGGCCAGTGATGTAAAAGAAATGAGCCCTTGTATCCCGTGTCCCCCTCTCCCTTTCTTCGTCCACATCTTCCTTTCACCAATGACTGTCGGGCTGGCGAGATTGAACGGGCCCGACTGATGGGGACGTGCTGGAAGTTTAATCAGCGAAGACGGCCGCTCTTTGGACAAAGCTGGGAACGGAGGCGCGACCGAAGAGCGAAAAAACAGCGACCGGGATCCCTGTTAGAGCCCGCCACATCCTTCGCCGAATCCTCCGCACAGAGTGACCCGATCGCGAAGAGCTCGATTTGGTGCGTGCGTGGTTGTGTGTGCGTGCGACAGCGAGAAAAGGCTGGTATCAAGTACTAAAACAAAAGGGCACGAGAAGTAGAGAGAAAGATTGAGAAGGAAAATGAGCAGGAAGGTGAAGTGCAAACGTTGTGCGGCGGTTCATTTTCTTCCACTCGAGAGCTCTATGCACATAGCTGTGAACGCGCACGCCGTTGTAGGTCTTTTACTCGAAGTGGAGCAAGTTCTTGGAAAATTGGAAACTAGCCACATTACTTTGGCTGCCACAGGCTTTCGGAGGCTGAGTGCTTGTAGCAGGGAAAACGATGTGCCGCTGTTGCTCGAGCCCATATAGAAATGAAAAACCGCAAAATTGCCTTCTAATATGTCCTGTGTTTGAGGGCGGCCAAGTCATATCGATGCACCGTGAGAAAAATGTAGAAAAAAAATTGACGAAAGTGAAAATACGGAGGGAAAAGGTAGTGCCCCCCACTCTCGGCGGTACCGTGACCGGAGTTGATTACTTTGAGCATGACAACTTTAGACAAGCTGTCCCGGGGAACACATTGCGGGCAGCCGGAAAAAGCTGAGCGTGTTGTGAATGTAGAATTAGCCGCGTAAAGTGAAAGCCACTCGCGTGGCGTGAAATTGATATTTTCTCGTGGTGGCTGACATGTTTGTATTTCACGTCGTGTACCTTTACGTATAGTGCAGGTGCACTGGGGGTGGAATATAAGCACGCCAATCTGAACACTTTGCTACCTTAGTCAATTTTTTAGGGGCGAAGCTCCTTATAGCGCACCTGTTCGTCCCTCGTACCCATTGTATTGTGCAACAAGTATAGAATTTTGACCTCCAAGGTGGAGGTAGTGCCGGTGAGAGATTTCGTCTGTGCGTTGTTGAACAATAAAACATAGTGCTCAATGTACATTGAACATAGTGCTCAATTTACATGCCAATGGCTGCTGAGGGGGAATGAAAGACAGGAGCATTCGGCTTTTAGTTAAAGCGCACGCTGCGATCCCCATTAGCAGCCATTGGCATGTACATTGAGCACTATCTGACAGGAAAAGGTTGCTACGTTATACTCGCTGGGCGTAACCTTCTTGGTTTTAGAAAGGTTTAGCGAGTGTTGGGTTGAAGTGCCATGAATACAGTGAACTAGTATATACCATGAACTCGAGGTGGTTAAAGGTTGGAAGTAGACTCGAAGTGTAAGCCTTAAGAAAGTGTGCGTGTGCCACCTCTCGTTTAGTCCTTGGAATGTCCGCTGGATAGCGGTGCTTCTATATGGGGAATATATGATGAAAAGATGCGAGATGCTGGTACTTGGAGTTTTGAATAGATGGACGAACGGACACACAGACAGATGCATGGATTGACGCATGAACGGACGCCGGGGCGGATGCATGGACGAACGCAGGGACGGCCGCACGAACAGACGCACGCACGGACAGGCTGTTGGACGCATGGACGGTCACACAGACGGACGCATGGACGGACGGAAGCAAGAACGAATGGACGGACGAATGCTTCGCCCCACCTCTCCATAATTCACTTCCGTGGAATATGCTGCCCTTTTTTTGTTTTTTTCGTGTGTGGACGACGGATGGATAGATAAACTTGTCAGCGAAAATTGAGGGAAAAAAAAAACCGACATATCTTCTTCCATGGTAAAGGTATCCTGTCATCAAAGTCAAGTTTCGTGCGAAGCACGGTGTGCGGAAACACAGCACCTTTATCACCATTCTCGTATTTCAACGGAGGAAAACGTCATCACCTTCGTCTCCTTTCAATACATCAATCGTATAGAACAGACAGCTGTTCGAACAAAGTGCGTGCATCTGCGTCTCCTCATGCACGCGTATGAGTGAAGACCAACTGCAGCCTGACTCACTGCTATGAATGCCATGATGCCACCGAAGAACGAACTATGCATAACTCCTATTGTGCGCGCTTCGCCCCCAACTCCCAGTCCGCACTCGGCCAACGAGTGAAAACATGACAAGATAAAGCAAGTACCAAGACGACAATCATCTAGGTGAATTCGACCCCTTGCGCGCTTCTTCATGCCCTGAACAGGCATCTCTCGGGTGGGCCAGTCACGTCGGTTCGGTAAGTCCCACGAGCGGATAATTGAAACAAAATAAAAATGAAGAGAGATAACAAAGTTAAGCGCGAACGGTGGAGAGGAATATGCGTTATAAGAACGAGGCAGCGGAGAAAAGGAAGGTAAGATGGTACGCATGCTATGACGTGCCGTATGTATGCTTTCGTGACGAGGTGGGCCAGCTGCCTCGTAAAACCGTTTTCCCTTTTCCCACCACCGCTGACCGCTGATTGCCACTCGCCCGTTGGGTAGTTGTGCGTAAAGGAGAAGCAAGTCGGCGCGTCATACGCGCGATATTGTTCAGAGCTGCTTCGCCCTTTGTGCCGCAGCGTCGCAAGCTCCTCGCACAGAGCCACCTGGGCGCACATCCCGTGGGGAAATCCTTTTCGTGCGTGTTTTGTTCGTCGGGCTGATTCGGGAACTCGTCGGCTCGTTTACGCGCGGTAACCACATTCGACGTTCAAAGAACCCGTCTTATCTTTCGAAAACGATCAGCCTTTCACGTCCTCCCTGCAATATTGACAAGCAACGCATACTACTCGGTAGCCGACTCAAGGAGCGGTGCGAAAGGTTGGGGCCTACTAAACGTACGACAACGTACACAAAAATAAACTTCGCCTCTGCACTGACGTGCAGTGCAGTGAAGCCTGCAGTGCTCGTGTGAGAAAACTGCAAATATTGATAGGGCTCAGCGAAAGTGAGGGGAGACCAGATAGGCCCACTGAACATTTCTGTCGCTGCGTTGTGCTTTATGTAATAAGAGAGGTATGAACAACATAGTCCATACAAAAGATGGCTCGATAAATTT